ACATAGATGATGTGTTCATGGGCCTCTGCGCCAATAAGATGGGAATAACACCACAGTACCATGTGTTTTTCTCTGGGGAAGGCAAGGCTCCTTACCATCCCTGCATCTACGACAAAATGATAACATCTCATGGACATGTGGAAGATCTACAAGACCTCTGGAAGGATGCCACTGATCCAAAAGTCAAATCCATCTCAAAAGGTTTTCTGGGTCAGTTATACTGCAGGTTAATTAAGATAGTTCTCCTCTGCAGACTGACCTATGTGGACACTTATCCCTGTAGGGCTGCATTTGTCTGATGGTGCTTGAATGTCATATGTTTTCACTGTCACTGAGCCAAAACTGGATGGAAACCTTTCCTTGTTTCTCTATTCCAAAGCAGATGAAAGACAAAGAAATATTTTGATAGCCCAGCCTATCAGAATGTTTCTTGGCTTCTAGAATTGTTTGGAAAAACTTAACTACTTCATTGCCTAAATTCATTTCAAGGAATTCATATGCAGAGATAGGTTTGTATTATTCATGGGAATAAAACTAAAGGGAAGTTCAAGTCATGCCACAAATGTATCTGGGGAATAGAGATGTGCTGAAGAAGTCTTGAATAGCTCTTTTCAGAAAATACCAGGTGAATGTGTAGCACGACATTTCAAAGAAATGAACGTTTTGTGTGATCGGGTAAACAAGTTTATTTTTTGTTAAAGAGCACTTGGCAGAGGTGATGGGGACAAAGAAAGGGGCATAGGACAGTGTATGGATTTTTATTTTTTTAAGTCTCATGCTTAACAGAAAATGGAAGAAAATGTACATAATTTCATTACAAGCAGTCAAATCATTTATACCTCCTTTTCAAAGTTTAATGTGAAATGTGAGAAACAGCATTGGTTCAACCCTCCCTGGTACTATATATAGGGGGCTTTTTGTTGTTATGTTAGAAAACTGCATAAAACTACATAGATAGGGCCGTTCTCTAGAGAGAAATCATTGCTGATTGAAATAAGGTGACTTTAATTTATTGAACTTTTTTGACTAGTGTTTAAACATCCATTAATTGGCCCAAGTCTATACGGTAGTTACTTGAGTGTGATTTGCACAGATGGGGGAAACTTCCAAAGAAACCACAGAATGTAAGAGCCTTCTTCATAATTGATATATTGAAATCTTAAGTGTGTAAATCATTGTGCTGATTACTAACATTAGCCCTCTCCTCCCTTAACAAAGACTCATGAACCACAAGACTCATTTCCAGGTTCATAGTTTTCAACTGACAGGACAAAACACCAAATTGAAGCCGTAGTACCTCAAACAGCCATTCTCAGATAACCATCAGGGATGCTCTTGAGCTTTGAAATGCTTTGAACTTATGAGCAAACTAACAGAAAAGCGATGAAGAGGTTGCCTGAATGAGTGCATCCTCCATCACCAGAGAGGGAGTTGAACTCTGATGGAGTGATTCATGTTGATCTTACCAAGCAGGATCAAAACCCAGCCAAGATGCACACAGCCACCCTTCACCACACAAAGAATCATGTGATGGCCATTGTTAGGGACATTTGATGAAAGCCAAAAAAGTAGTGTCTGCATAAAGTGCTCAAGTGTCTGTAAAACCTTGACTGCATGGGTACTGGATAGAGAAAACTGAGAGGTCTCACTTCCTGACATAATGGCAAAACCATTGCAAAACAACCACAAAAGTTTCTCAGTGCACACAAATGGATGGTGTTGGTCATTCTTAGCACACAGCTTTTAATGTTTACAAATACGTGGATGCTCATTTGCTTTTCTATTTTGAAGTGTGAGGCTTGTTTACATTGATTAGGTAACTCAGTGTTTTTAACCAATGTCAAAATTCTAGATTCAAACATTCTAGGTTTTAGTTAACACAATAGATTTAGGGGCTTGTGTCAATAGTTCAAATTTTCTAATAATTAAAAAAAAAAAAACCTAAGAGAACAAAAGCACATTTTGACAAAGCAGCTTTATAATGAATTGTTCTTGATTGATTCTCTAATAGCCGTGTGCTTTGGGTCACACAGATCACACCTGTCTATACTTAGAACTGTTTAAATCTGCCACTGGCTGAAACATCAGTGTCTCCTGCCGTTGAAATGATCTTGTTTACAACAATATTTTGTGTGTGTGCAAAATAGTTATTTATTTGCTGAAACAGCATTCCTAAACTGGAAGGAAATATGAAGGCACTTCCTTTTTTTTTCCTTTCAGGAAGGAAGTTGCTAGATGATTCCTTCATGACACTAATGGTACTGAGAAGAGTATTTGTAAATAAAAGGTGTCCAACCTTTTAAAAAGGAAGGAAACACCTTTTTGGTGCTGCAGTGCAGGGTTTTTTTTTTTTTAATGTCAACAAAGGGAAGAAATGAACTATCAGCCTGATAGGTCACATGTTATTATAACACAGTGTTATTGTTAAACTTTTTACCTCTTGGTATTTTCCATACTATTAATTTTGTATAAAAATGTTAAATATTTATATTACTTGAATTTTGCTCTTATGGCAGAATAATTAGTGGGTTTTAAAAATATATACATCATTTCCAATAAACAACTTAAAAACCAGCTGCAGATTTCTACTTAACTGCGTGTGTAAATACCATGTGTTCCAATCATCAGTTTGTTGCCTTTAACCTCAGAGATGTGGGTGCCCCACCATCTTAGTCCTGTTGCCTTTTGCACTTGCTTCTGTGCCCTGGTTTAGCATGCCTGCAGCGTTGTACTGCTACCTGCCGGGGAAATGCCTTAGGCTGGAATGTCTAGGTAGAGGATGTGTTTCTCAGAACCCAGGTCATCTACAAAACAAGGGTGAAATAAGAACCCCTAGCCAGACACCACTCGGTTTCCCTTTTCAGAGCTTTCACTGTCAGAAAATAGAGTTTTGTGTAGCCAGGAATGATTTTATGCCTCCACCAGAGTACGTACTATTTCAGTAGATTTGCACATACAATGCTCTCATCCATTTTCTTTTTTCACCTGATTCTGCCTTCAGTTCTTGACATAGCATGCAGTAGGATTCAATTTGAATACTTTTTTTTAACTTGTTAAGTATCTAAATTATTTCGTTGCCATAGAACATTTTCCTCATAAAGAATATTTCAGGTGTTTGAACTAAGCGATGATTACCTGAAAGAATGAACTTGACCTGCATCAAGACCAAGTTCATTGGTGACTATGGCTACCATGGGAGTAAGACCAGAAAACTCATATGCAAAGTTATTTATTTCATTTTAGTGATGTGAGGAATGTTAAATGTCTCCCAACCCTGGTCTTCCAGTAATGTCTGCATTCTGAGTCACTACTTGTATTAAAATAGTCCTTTGTTGCTGACCTCAAAGGCTCCCTCTGCCTACAGATCTCAGCTCTTCCACCTGGATTTCAGGACCCGAGGCAATCTTGTCTCCTCCTTTCCCTGTAACCTGCTTTTCTCCTCTGCCACTATTATCAGTCACTACTCTCATTACCAGGGGTGTATCTTGCTCAAGTGGGTTTCCCCAGCCAGGAACCTGGTTCCTCCTGTATCTGACGAAATCCTGGAAAGCCAACCCCGCCTTCTCTCCTCCCCACAGCTATATGCCTAATCGCATGTTGTACAACCTTCTGTTCTCTTCTGAAGGGAGGGGAATCAGCACAGTCATATCATCACACAGTGCTCAAAAACATGTTTTCCAAATAGATTGGAAATATGTTTTCCAAATAGAATGGGATGATGTTATTCTGTAAATCCAAACTAAACATAAAAGGATTCAGAACCATTAGAGGACATTACCTGGTACAATATTACCATGGCTTCAAAGTTTAGGATCTGTTCAACATTAAATGCTTCTACATGGCCAAGTATATTGTACCTATTGGCTGTAGCCCTGATTTATAATAATTAAGGACTGAAACTCAGCTCTATAAATGACAAGTCAATAAAGCACAAGGGATTAAGCTTTTGCCGCAAAGATTGGTCATTTTCAGGTGACCATCCAAAGGTGATGGTGGAATAAACAGTCATCACATCCTGTCTTGGGATTCATTTACTGGCAAATGTCACCTGTTTCCAAAGGTGCTCCTCTCCTCCCCCAGTAGTGGATATTTTGTGTCACCAGTTAAATACTGTAACCATTGTCAATGAATTTAAAGGATACATTTAAATTAAAAAGCATTAGGCTTTTTAAGGTATGGGTTTAGTCATAGAAGAGTCTCAGAAGATAAAACTACCACTTAAGGAAGAAACACACCACAGCATTGCCCATTGGTGCTTTTCTGAGCCGACTCCCCTAAATACACTTTACAGACACTAAATGGGTCAGTTACAGTAACTCAGACATTTTAGTCAGTGAGAGACTAAGTAAAAGCATATTTTGTAGTCTGACTAAGCCAATAATTGGCTTTAATCAAGGGCAATTTCTTAAATCTTTGTTCATTCATTCCACAACTATCTTGTGAAGGCCTGTGAAAAGGCCTCAGGCTAAAAAGCAATCTTCAGGACCAATGGTGTGAGTGGAAACAATGGGACTCTGGCCAGAGTACCGGTTGTGACAGGATTCAGAGTATCAAGATTTCTTTTTTTGTTTGCAAATGCAACTTCCTCCTTTGTGGGCTTTCCCTCCTCAATCAATCTTGATTTTCTGAATAGCACAACACACATATGCAAACACCTTCCAATTGGCCAAACAGCATTAAGTTTGTCTAGCTTGTGTCTTTTGGAAACAGAAAGCCTTTCGATGTGTTCCAGTCAATAATCCACGTAATACTCAACATGGATTTACATGTGTTGACAATCCAGTCTTTAAAACATCAGGCACTTGGCTTGTTTATAAGTTGTCATTCATAGTTCTACATATCTGCCTTTGTGAGATGCATGAGTGTTCTAAGGGATATCAACGAAGTTTAGAGAAAAATACTGTGATTTTTTTTAAAATCTGGGGAACACAAGTGATGAGGTTTAAAACAGGCCATCCAGCCCTCAGCTTAACCACCCCCACTTGGCTCTAGAGCCTTACCTGCTGGGGGGAAGTTCTTGTCCACTGTTCAGCTGTCCCTGCCCAGAGTCCTCGCCAGCAAGGTTACTTTCAAGTATTTCTTCATTCTGCAGTGAAAGAAATTTAGGTAAGGATTGACGTTTGAGTGGCCTCAATCTGTATTTCTTTCCTCTATTTTGTGCTTGGTTTCGGTTTCCTAGATGATCAACACATGCAAGGTTCTCACTTTATACTCGCTTTTGTGAGTTTTCCCCAACCCTTCTGGGTGTTTGACAGTTCACCATGTAGGCTTCCTTTGAGCTTGACCAAAAAAACAAAAGTTTTCTGCAGAAGAGTTCCTTCTTTCATCACAAGGGACTACACACATATACCTCCCCTCATTGATTCATTTAAAAAAAAAATGTGTTAAGGACTCAAGGTTTAAGATACAAAGAGAAAAGAGATCACTAGATTCAACAGCTCCCAAGGTCTAGAGAAGTGACTTGTCCTTGACCAGAAGGAGCTAGAGGCAGTGAGGAGCCAGCCCAGTGTCACCTTCTGCTGATCCCATGTCCCATCTGCCTCTGGCCTCCTTAGACAACTGGTTCTCTAGGCACTGTGTAGGTGTGGTCACGCCAGGGCACATCTGAAGCTAGCTGGTGGTTGAAAGTTCCACCATTTTCCAGCTGTGCCATCTGGGGCAAGCTCATGTACACTCTATGCCTTGGTTTCCTCACCTAGAGTCAAGGGCATTTCTATCCCACTGAGCCCCAGTAAGGGCAATGTGAGAAAGTGTGCCAAGACTGTCTGGTGCCTGGTAGGCAAGACATATTCAGATACTGGCTAGTTAGCTACTGGCTGCTGACCAGTTAATGATTTATGATACCTTCCCTTGCTATGTATCCACTTTGAAAATTCACCTCACTGTTAAAACCAAGTTTTCTTGAGATCAAACTGAGTAAGAGTCATAGCTTTTTGAGAATTAAATATCTAAATGTCACTCTAAAAGGAATTGTCCTATTTAATTTCCAGAAATCACTTCATATGGATATATATCCATGTGATATAAAGAGCCTAAAATGTGGTAATGTGCTAGGGTTTATTTTGTTTAGTTAATAAAGGGATGATTTCTTTTTTTGTGTCTTCATAAGATTCTCTGTAAGTGAAAAATCTAAGTTTTTGAAGCTATGTTTGCCAAATTTAGGTTTATCATTGAGTCACTTAGAAAAAATTGATCGCTGATGCAAACCTGTCACCGCTCTGTGTGTGTGTATGTGTGTGTGTGTTTACTGGTACAGATTCACCTCTAAAACACAAAAGTCATGGAGCTGATCCCTCATGGTAAAGCTTCTTATTCTTGGTAATATATTTCTTAGACAACCAAATATAGGAGTTCTAATTATTTTAGATTTAGGCTTAATTTCTATAAAGTGATATTAATTTTAAAATTTTTTAAATTTATTTAATGGAGAGACAAAACAGAGGAGAGTTTCCATATAGAAATTCACTACCCCAAATCAAATGCCCACAATGTATGGAGAACGGTTGGAGCCAAAGTCGAGCGCCAATAGCACAATGCAGCAATCCGGGTCTCCCATGTGGGTGGCAGGAACCCAATCACTTGAGCCATCATTGCTGCCTTTCAGGGCAGATTTTTGTTTTAGTTTTAAGCACTTATTTGTTTATTTGAAAGGTAGAGTTACAGAGAAAGAGCGATATCAATCTGATCTTCCAGTTGATTTCCCAAATGGCCTCAGCAGTTCTGGGCTGGGCCAAACTAAAGTTAGGAGCTACACGGCAAGGAGGGGTTCAAGCACTTGGACCATCTCCTGCTGCTTTCCCAGGTGCATGAGCAGGAGCTGGATCAGAAGTCTAGCAGCCAGGACTGAAGTCAGCATGCATATAGTATACAGGCATTGCAGGTAGTGGCTTAATGTGCTGTGCCAAAGTGCCAACCCCTGGATCTGCATTATTAGCAAAAGCTGCAATTAGGAGTCAGAGCTTGACATTAAACCCAGGCCAACGCCAATAAGGGCACCTAAGTGACCGTAAATCAGAGCAAACCATTTACAGCAGGAACAAAACAGAAATCAATGAATAAGTACCTGATTGTAAACTGTCTTTCATTCTGAAAAAGCACTTCCATTTCAATGAGACTTTTTTGGGGGGGTCAAGTTCATTGGAGTAAGAATTACATTTGATAAAATTAGCCTTTTACATGTACAATTAGTTGTGTTTTACCACATGTACAGCCAAAAAGTTGCCACCATCAAGATAACGAACATTTTTATTCCCCTGCCAAATTCCCTTAGCTTCCTTTGCAGTACCTCCAGCCCCTGGCAGCACCCGCTCTGATCTCTATCCCTATGTTATTACAAATGGAATACATATTTTCAGCATTTTTTTCACAAGAGTATGAAATATTTATTTAAAAACTTATGCACTGGATTGTACATTCTAGAAACAAAAGAAGATTCAAATTTAGTAATAAAGGTAAGAGCAATCCCTGTTCAAAATACATAAGAAACTCCCTTAGGTGCTGGGCATCAACTGTCCTTTTCCGTTTGCAGAAAAGCAGTGATAGGGCTACTGCTGTGAATGGCTGGCCAGTTCCATGAAGCTGCACCTTGGAGACTTTCTTTTGGTCACATTTTGTGACCAAAGGTTCAATTCTGCTACCCTGTTTCCAGTAAGTCAAGTCACAGACAAATTTATACACAAATTTCTTGCCTTGAACTTTACAAATCATGTCCCTATCATAATAATACTTTGATGCACAACTGAGTTTCTCATAGTTCATTGTAGGCTTATTTTACATTGTCCCCATTTCCTGAGCTACCAATTCAGGCTGATTTAGTTTAAATGGACCTAGATCACCAACCCATGGAACACAGTACTGAGTATCCTTGTCAGTAAGGAGTTCTAGTAAAAACTGCCATAGCTGGATTTGTCAATTGTTTCCTGTTCTGTTCCCAGGCAAGCATCTGTCTTCTTCTGAAATCCTTGGAGCTCTCTGGATTTTAGCTTCCTTTGTGCCACTGTTTAGGACTTTAATGGCAATTGGTGTAGCTAACTGCACTAGTGCTGGAATAATTTGCACAAGTTTATCGATTGTGACTATCTCATTCAGCTGTTGTTCTTGGCTTGCCAACTCATTTTTTTTAAGATTTTAATTTTTTTTTTTTTTGAAAGTCAGCTATACAGAGAGGAGGAGAGAGAGAGAGGAAGATCCTCTATCCTATGGCTCACTCCCCAAGTGGCCACAACGGCCGTAGCTGAGCCAATCTGAAGCCGGGAGTCCAGAGCTCCCCCTGGGTCTCCCACATGGGTGCAGGGTTCCAAGACCCTGGACCGTACTTGACTGCTCTCACAGGCCACAAGCTGAGAGCTGGCTGGGAAGTGGGGCTGCCGGGATTAGAACCAGCACCCATATGGGATCCTGACACATTCAAGGCAAGGACTTTAGCAGGTAGGCCACTGGGCCAGGCCTGCCAACTCATATTTTCAAAGAAGTTCCAGATGACTTCAAAGAATCTCTCCCTGAAAGATTTGTTGAAAAAAACTCTTCTTGACTGAGACTACATAATTCCAAATATGTTGAGTGTGGTGAGGTCTATGTTGAATTCCTTCATTACCCAATGAAATGCCTGGCTCCTGGCTCCTGGCTCCTGGCTCCTGGCTCCTGGCTCCTGGCTACGGACTGGCTCAGCTTCAGCCACTGCAACCACTTCAGGCGTGGATCATCAGACAGAGGATCTTCCTCTCTGTCTCTCCTCCTTTCTTTATATCTGACTTTCCCCAAAAAAAAAAAAAATCTTTAAAAAATATATCAGTCTTGAACAACCTCTGCAGAACAGGAAGTTAAGCTAGAATAGGAATCTCCAACTGAGGACAGGCACCATCCCAGTGCACCTGCGTACAGTGCCCAGTTTCCAGCAGTGAAAAGAGGTCAGCATTTTTTTAAGTGTTTATTTGAGAGATGGAGAAACAGAAAGTACACTCCCTTCTGCTGGTTCACCCCCAAATGAACACAGTGGTGAGGAGTGTGAAGCTGGAAGCCTGCAACTGAATTCAGATCTCCCAGATGGATGGCAGAAGTCCAATTACTTGTACTGTCACCTGCTGCCTTCCAGGACCTTATTAGCTGGAACACAGGAATTAATCTCAGGCACCCCAGAGTGGGACACAGGTGTCCTAACCAACTTCTTAGCCATTAGGACAAATGCCTGCTCCAAAGTATGTTGCCTTTCGAGTCTGGCTTCTTATCACAATGTTTTTGTGATACATCCCTGATGTTATCTGTATCAATAGTCAGTTATTTTTTTTAATTTATTTTTTATTGAAAAGTCAGATATACAGAGAGGAGGAGAGAAAGGAGGATCTTCCATCCACTGGTTCACTCCCCAAGCGACCAGAATGTCCAGAGCTGAGCTGATCCGAAGCCAAGAGTCAATATCCTGTTCCAGGTCTCCCAAATGGGTGCAGGGTCCCAAAGGTTTTGGGCTGTTCTTGACTGCTTTCCCAGGCCAGAAGCAAGGAGCTGGATGGGAAGTAGGGCCGTTGGGATTAGAACCAGCACCCATATATGGGATCCTGGCACATTCAAGGCGAGGACTTTAGCAGTTTGGCTACCACACTGGGCCCAGTCAGTTATCTTATTACTAAGTAGTAGTCATCAATATGGGCATCAATATGCTTTTCCTTTTCAACAAATATTTTTAATGGCACACTGAAAACATCATTTAAGCTTATAAATCAGGTTATGGCTGTGCATACCGAAGCAGCCTGTCACTCACACATTATTTACAACAGGCCTCCCCATTTATCCCTCAGTCTGGGTAAACTTCTCCCTTTCAGGGTTCTTTATGTTTACTCATCAGATCTCCCTTAACAATACTTTCTCAAGTATCTATATCTGAATCTATAGCCCCATTCGTGAAAACGTAAAATAGCGCATTCTACGAACAGCTGCTTTAAACCTGACTTATGCAGATGAAGTAGTGTCTGTGGTTGGCTAACTCCTCACCATGCACCTACAGCCCTCTCCTTGCACTCACTTAGAAAGCAGTCAAGGTAAGGATGCCTGAACATGATCCACAGTGTTGACCACAAAGACAGCAGCTTGGAA